GCAGTTCCTGCTGCTGGTGCCCAGCCGGCAACCACCACACCTCTGCCACACGCCGGGGCTCAAAGAGCTGGGCAGTGGGCAAGGCTTTCTGCAGGCAGCGATGCAGAGATGCTCGCCTTCGGGCCACCTGGCATGCTGGCTTTCACGGTGCCCAGCACGTGGGCGCAGGGCTGTAAAGTGCTCCCTGGGTCCCACTGCCACCTCCCCCTGGGGTGGGACCGGCTCCCCAACTTCTCTGCCCCCCCCAGCCCTGCCTGCTGCCCCCAGCCCTCGCAGGCGGCTCCAGACCTACTTGTGCCTCTTTATTAGGGATCGTTTGTACATTTATAAAACAGTGATGCACATCTCTCACGTTCACCAGCACGAGAGCGTTCGTGCCGGCCCTCCCGCCGCGGTGCCCGTGCCCACCCTGCTCGGGGCTCGCTGCTCCCACTGGCAGGGAGGGAGCCACATCCAGCACCCCCTCCACCCGCCGCAGGAGACCTTGGAGGAGAGCTGGCTGGCATGGCCGTGGCACGTCCCCAGGCTAACACACGGCACCCCTCTGGTGACACTCCTGCTTGTGGGTGGGTGTGGGGAGACCCCATGGGGAGCTGGCACAGGGTGCTCTGGAGGGGCTCCCCAGGGAGCACTGCTGCACCTGCCCTGCTGGGAGGCTTGCTGTGTGTCCCCCCATGCAAGGGGACACAGGACACCATGCAGCTGGGTGCTTGCACCAACAGGGAACATGTTTCCACATGGATGCATATTTTGGGGGGCCGTTGGGCCGCGCATACCCAGAGCCAGGGCTGCCGGGCACATCACCAGGCTGGTGCTCCGGTCCCTGCCCTGTGTCTCCCACATGTGGGGCCATGGGGGGCTGCAAGGATGATGGCTCCTCCTGCATCTATGGCTTTGGCCACGGCGCAGCATGGCTGTGTTCTGTCTGCGGGTACCAGGGATAGGGACCAAACCAACAGGGCCAGGGGCCACCTGGCTCAACCCCAGCCTCCCCCAGAGGTCCCAAATTCCTGCCCTGGGGTCCCCCTCTCTGCTGCGTGTGTGTGTCGAGGGGGGCTTTGCCAGCCCACCCCCCCTCCTGAGATATTTTGGGGCGGTTTGCCCTGCGCTGGTGTCTGCTACAGTGGAGGGGGAGGAGGCAATGTCTGACAGGACAGGGGGAGCGCTGTGGGTCCTGCTGTGGGTCCTGCCATCTCGGGGCAGGCAGGAGGGCTGTGGGTGCCAGTCCTGGCCGAGGCTCTGGCCGGCGGGTCGGGCTGTGGGTGTCTGGGCGGTGCTGGGCATGGGGCACCCTCCTAACCGTGTACAATCTGGGGGAGGCACAGCGGGTGCTCAGCACCCAGGGGGTGGGAGCATGGCAAGGGGTACGTGCACGGTGCAAAAGAGTGGCCACAGGCAGGGGAGCGCGGGCAGGACCACCCTGCGCCGCCTGGGCTGTGCCGGGTGGCTGCACCAAGGGATGAGCCGCTTTGGGCAACCTGGGCAAGGATGGGGAGGGCTGGGGGGGGGGGGGGGGGGAGGCAGTAGGTTTGCAGTGCTGCAATGACTGGGGGCTATCGTGGGCCAACACTGGAGTGTGTGGGGGTGTCACAGTGCAGGGGTCTGGCTGGGAACAGTGATGGGGGGGCTGCAGCCCTGGCAGGTTGCATGAGGCTGGAGAAGGGCGGG